ATAGTGGTCTGGTGTAGCGACTTAGGGACTTTCAGACACTTCTTAGGACACATACAGATAGGTGTGGAACGTAGTAGGGGCCCATACTACTAAAAGCATAGGATCCATACAAGGATCAAAAAGGGTCGAAAAGGTTTCTAAGAAGTTAGTGGAGGGTAGATAGTGTAGTATAACATTAGTGTTAATTGCAGTCATCCGCTTCGTCGTCGACTTGTCGGCTATGATTATGCAGAATGATATTGGTAATCGTTTGGCCTTGAGTGTCCATGGCATTTTGGGTCTGGTTGGTTTAGACCTATGAGGTTTAGCTGATTTAGAGATATCGAGGACCTTACTCAAAATAGTGTCAGTCTGAGTCGCGGGACTCAAGAAGGAAGCTCTTATGATGATCAACTCGAGGGTTGTAGACTGAAGCTGAGTGGTCGGCCGATGGCAAGGGATGTTACTTGTTGCATCGGGGTTGTGTTTTTCCTGCCTCTTGTGCTCAAGGGAGGAAAGATCGATTGTCGGTTAGTCGATGGTTAAGAGAGGAGATTGTGATCTTCTCATCGGTTCTACTGAAGGAATCTGTATTATTGTTTGTAGTAAATCATATCTGTGTCGCAGAAAATGGATATTTAAGACTAGGTGGTTCTTATGGTTTGTAGGACCAGATGAAGTCCATGTCGCAGGTGGAATATGTAACGTAGATTCTGGAAGATAGGATGTATACGGGGAGATATTGAGTTGATCTTGTTCTGTGCAAAAGAGTTTTACGGAGGTGTTGAATTTGTCAGAGTTATGTTTTGAGCATCTATAGGGGTATTCTTGAAGTTTTAAGAGGAGGATGAGGATGTGGATCAAATCTCCAAGTGTAAGGTTTCCCGTGTGTAAGTTTAGTTCGGAAGGTGTTAAGTCTATCTAATGGAGTTCTGGCCAATATCTCTAAATTTAATGGGTGATGTGGGGAGAAAGGTCTCCGAAGTCTCTATCTGAAATTCGGAGATTTCGTTTTCTTAGGATCATTTTGTATTGTGATATGCATCCTAAGACTCAAGTCGGGTATGTTCATGGTTAATCCGGTCTAAGGCTATAAGGTTGTAGACGTCATTCGATGATAGTTCGACCCCTAAGTAGGTTAGAAATAGGTATTTTTTTAGAGAATTGTCACACGGTCCGATTTTATGGTTTCATCGCGATGGTTCAGAGTAATCTACAGTTCAGGAATGCTAGATTTTCGTACAGGGTTTATGGATGCATTGGGGAAAGAAACGGGCTATCATCAAAGTGTTCTTGATTTGGATGTTTCTCGTTGCGTTCCTCAGTGGTTCGTCAGAGCCCTCCATGGACGCAGAGAATTTAAGGTTTTGTCAGATTGTGAGTGCAAAGTAAGTTGCCATTAGGTGTCTGTGTTGTCCTCGTAGAAGGAATATGGTGGCTAGGGAAATTGTAATGGTCAATTGTTCCTTTATGGTAGCTTCATGGACATGAATGAAGGAGCTTAAACCACTCTAATATGGAAGTTTCTCGTTGCGTTCCTCAGGATTCCATCGGAACCCTCCATGGGCACGGAGAATTTAAGGTTTGGTCAAATCATGGTTGCAGAGTAAGTTGACATTAGGTGTATGTGTTGTCCTCGCAGAAGGATGTAAGTGGGTAGGGAAATTGTTGTGGTCAATCGTTGCTTTATGGTAGCTCCATGGACCTAAATGATGGAGCTTAAACCACTATAATTGTGTATCGGGTATAGGAAGCATGGTTAGCCCACGATATGGGTTTGTTATTTTTGGTTGATTTGGGCAATGGTTGAGGTTATTCGAAGGTTTCAACCAATATCAGTTGAGGGTGTATTTGATACGTCAACCCTTAGTCAAATTCAGTAAAGTTTGTATCTTGGCCTATATGTATGTGTTATGTCGACTTCTTGGTTATGGGATTGTGGTACCTAGTGGGATCGAGATTGCAGATGGCCTTAGTTATTAGAAGATCGGATATCAGAGCAATGATGTTCAAAATTTTTTTCAGGTCTCGTCGGTTTGGTTGGTTTTTGGATTGATTCGACTAGGATATTGGCAGCATTTCTAGATAATTTTGGAGTTCTTTAAGACTGGAAGTCTTATTGGTCTTTTTTCTCATAGATGGGATCTGTTCAGCTTCCTCATGGTGTGGGATCTTGTTGTGGTTGTTAGAAGAATGTGTCTAATAGCAGTTGAGGTTCGTCGTATCGTCCGATTTACCAGTACGTCACCTTTTGGGTAAGGTTACAATTAAGAAGGAACACACTCGGGTGGGGAGCATTATGTTTCCTCCTGGAAGGTGTGAAAATTTATGCTTTCAAGTTGGAACGACAATTCAATTGTCTATCTAGTGCTGGTTGTGCATGGTCGCGTTTCATTTGGCGATCTATTGGTGGCACTGGATTGTGGAAGAGTGTGTCTTTTAGGATGGCATAACTCATGTATTTTTGGCAAGTGCCGAGTGAGATGTTGACTGGTTGCTACCGGTCAGTAGAATGATGGCTGTATGTCTTTAGACCCGTTGGATGTTGGTCGGGTGTCTTTATACTTGTGGTCGAATGATGGAAAGAACGGTGATGAGCTATGAGCTTCTCATCCCAATTGATGGATGGCGTCACGACGTGCCGTGAGCCACCGTTGATTTCACTTTTGTTAGTGGGTACGACATTTGTGTAGTGGAGACCCGTGTGTTAGTTTATTATTCGTATGTCATAGTTGGACGTTTGTGCAGTATAGTGTTGTCACTCGTGGCTCAGTGACCGGCAGGTTGAGTCAAGCAGTTGTAGGGTGTTAACTTGTTGTAAAAGTCATCGTAGTTTGTTAGCAACTCATTATTGTGATTCTTATTAGTGAACTTGTGGCCGTTTTATGATAAGGTTTTGTGTGAGCTCTTTCCTTATATTACATATGTTATAGTGGTATGCATGCTAGACTAGCTGACTCCTAGTAGCTGATGGATGTTGTGAGTATTTTCAGAGTTGCTGATAACTCCAGGACTGCTGATAGTCCTTGGGTCGCTAACGACACATAGTTGTTTGGATTGACATAGGGGTAGTGGTATGCTGGTTAGAGTACCTAGAGTCCAGTGATGTGGAAGGTTATGATTCTCTTAGGAAATTTTGGTAGATGGTTATTAGATATAGCTATGGAAGTTCCTATTTAAATGGTTATGAGTTGGGTCTTAGCGTTGGAGAGAGAGGTAGTATTGCAGTGAGTGTTCCAAATGGATTTGTTATATGAAGTGTTTGAAGGTAGCATTTGGATTGTGTTAGTGCAGTTAAAATTCTAACCAAGTCAGATTTCGACTATGAAATCCAGTTTAAGTGGGGGAAACTTGTAAGAGCTAGTTTTTAGATGTTTCTATTATCGGGATAGTCGGCTGTAAATGGATCTATTAAAAGCCTTGGGCTTCAAGGGAATAGAGTTTAGACCCTATCGGGTGTTGATAATGTTGGGTTAAGTGTTTAAAGCTATCCAATTGCGCTTCGAAGAAAAAGGGTAAAATGGGAAAAGTTATATATGGGGCTTCTCACATGGATTATGGATGTAGTTCGACATGTGTTAAGCCAAAAGTAATTATACAGGGTTGTGGGGCTCGTGAATACCCTTCTGTACATATAAAGATCGTCAAAAACCGAGTTGCAACAAAGATGCTATGATTGTTTAAAGTTGGAGTGGAATTTGGGGAAAAACCGTTGTCACGAGGTGACAGGAATGTGTCACGACATGAGAGCTCTCAAGAGGTGATACACAGGTTCTCACGAGGTGAAAACTGTGCAGCCTAAGCCTACAAAATTTTTACGGTTTTCAAGGTATTCAAATGTAAGGATTCATGTTTAAGGGTATTTTCTTAACCTCCATCATATCTAGAACCCCTTGGAAGAAACCCTAGCCTTCCTTCACCACTTTGAGCCTCCCCTCTCATCTTTCATCCATTATCGGAGTTTTCGGTGGATTTTGGAAAGAAGCCCTTTCAAGATGGAGTTCTGGACCCTTGCTTAAGAAGATCTCGGCTTCCAACTATATTATGGACCTTGGGTATGATTGAAGTTTCCACCTTTATGCTTATAAGTTGCTATATCAAGATTATAAGCTTGTTTTTAGTCCATTAAATGAAGATTGTACATGTTGTGAGATGTGATAAAGTTTGCGAATTTATCATTCTAGTTTGTCACAAGAGTATTTTTGTCTATGGATCTGATATTTCATGATCTTTTGGTCACCATGCTTGAAGTTATGATCTTATTTTGGTCATTTTGACCTAGCTTGTGTTTAAGACATGCATTTGACACGCGTATTTAAAAAGCAATGATTTTTATGGTGCTTTGGAATTGATAAAGCCTTCCGGAAAAGTTGGAGTTCTTGACTTAATGGATTAAGGAGTCAAAACCTTTGTTTCCCATCATTGTTAAGAAGATAGATTGGAGAGTATGGAATATTTGCCCATTTCATTGTTTGTAATTTTTGTTTTTTGAACTGTTTGCTTTGTAATCTTTGCCACATCAGCTTGTTGTGGTTTTTTTATATTTATATATTTGCTGTTTTCAAAAAAAAAAAAAAACTTTACTTTCCATTCCTTGTGTATAAAGTTTTCAACGTTCTTCTATATGTCAAATTAAACCTTCTAAAACCACCATTTTGAGGATGTTAAACGTGCTCACCAAATCATTACCACTTGGAATGTGATGTGATGTTTTACAATTGAAAATAAACCTATCTATAACTTTGTATGATGCAATACTTTTAATTATTATATATATATATATATATATATATATATATATATATATTTATTAAAGTTGTTTGGCAACATGAATAGTAAACTGGGCAATAGTTTGGCAGAAATGGTCCATAAGTTTTCATATTTTTAGTGGTTCAGGTTTTTGGCACTAAAGTTTATGATATTCACAATTTGGTCCCCTGAATTAAAAGGGTATTTTATTTAATTAATTCTTTTCTATGTACACGTGTTGATGATCGCTGCTGTTGTTGTATGACTGTTTCATGTTTATCTTCATATTGTCTCGATTGTTCCTTTTGGGATATCTGTTCTTATTCCATCGCTTCCTTGAATCGCTGCAGGAACTCGACGAGATGAAGAAACGATTCAAAGAGATGGAAGAAGAAGCAACAGGTCTTCGCCAAATGCAAGCCAAAGTTGAAAAAGAAATGGGTGCTGTTCCAGGTCCATATCTGACTTCTCGACATCGTAATTGTGTTTAATCGCATTTGTATGTGATTGTGTTCGCACAATCTTCTGTGTACCCAAATGAAATATATTTACTAATCTAGGATCCAGTACAAAGGCCTGGTTATCGCAATAGTATTTTTATTAGTTTTGCGATCAATCAATCGAAATTTTCACCTATTTGATTCTGGTTATCTACAGATCCTGCTGGTGCAGCTGCTAGCTAAGCAAGCAAGGAAGAGGTAGATACAAGGTCGATATTTGTTGGATTAGTATCAAAATCATATTTTATCCAATTTCTCATTTTTGACACTTATCCATGAAGTTTAATGTCCCTTTGTACTCCCATGTGTACTTTTTACTTCTTCTTTTTCACCTGTGCTTCTAAAAAAGGGTTATTCTTCCTGCAATTCATGAGCGGGCTCCACCAAGGAGTATCATTAGAGATATGAATCTGTGTAGATGTTTTTGACAAGGAGCCCAGTTCATGTTAGGCTTGGCTTTCTTCCTCACAATTCACACTTTTGTTCTTCAAATCGATTCTTCTGTTAAGCAGCCGAAAAAGATGACGATGTTTAAACGACTCCATGTACTTCTATGGTATTAACTTCACTCCCGCTTCACTCTGTCGTATTTCAGTAAGGCTTGTATATAAAAAACAAATATGTAATCGTGTTTCTTATTTGATTTCGTTTGTTTTTTGATTCTCGATTCTGAAGCTCAGTATAACCTCAACTGAATTACGCCCACCAAGTGTTTGTTAAAATGACAAATAGAGATTTTTGGTCTGTTACATTATTGCTTGCACATAAGGTCAATCTAACTTCACCAGATATATGAATTAGTAACTTGTGATTGAAGAGAAAGGCTTTTGTTGATTCAAATGACTGTTGTGGTAAAGCATGTAGTGATCCTAATGTTTTCCTATTTTTTTTCTCTCTTACACTAAATTATTGAATATTTCTGCAGACACTTGAAATGCTAGAGAAGAAAGAAAAAGTGCTTCTGAAGAAAGCTGGTGCAGAGGTTAAACAATCAAAGGAGTTCACTAGAGCGAAAAACAAAAGGGGTATTAATATTTAAATTTAAACTTATTATTATGAGCACTCTTAATCTCTTATTCTTTGCGACATCAATTTATACTAAATATGTTGTTTCTCATTATGGAATTATTCAGCTGCAATACAGAGTGTTTGAAGTGAAAAATACTTTATGAACTACAAATTAAATAGCTTGGCAATTTTCAGTTCCGTATTCATGATCAGGTTCCTTTAAATTTTTCTGTCGTAAAAACATTAGCAATTTTACTTTATGTTTTATATCTTCACTAAAAGTTATTTTAAATAATTAAAATTTGTCAATGGACACCAGATGATAGTGCTTGAAGGTGCAAAGACTACAACAGAGAGAACAAAAGGTTGTGTAAGTTTCTAAATCTATTACTATGTAAATCATAATACAAGGATAAATTGATCATTTAGTCTCTTAAAAAGATATTATCACCCGTTCGGCCACTTTACATATACAAGGCTTACTGAGAAGGAAAAAAACATCCCCCTCAGTAAAAAAGAAACACGATTACATAATTGTTTTTGAGTTTTTTTTTTTGTACAAGAATATTGATGATGTAGACAACACAACGGATGAGATAAATGAGGAAGCAGAGAACATGAAACAAATTCAGGAGGCATTGTCAACAGCAATTGCTGCAACAACTGATTTTGATGAGATAAAGTAAAATGACTCTATTTAGCTTTATAAACAATTATTTAATTTTGAGAAAAAAAATATTGAATGTATAAATATGCATATGATAAATTGGAGGCTAAACTTGAAGAATTAGAAGGCGTTGAACTGGAAGAACAACTACTACACCCTACAAAGTACTCCAGCCATCTTAGATGTTTTTTATCACTTAATTTGAAAAACTAAATAAACAGTTTTTTTTACTCGATAGATAAAGATAATTTTCTACAAATTTACCCTCATAAAGTCCTAATTTTTTTTTTACTAAACACAGGGATTTACTGAAACTCAAGTTAGTACACTTGCAGTAAAAGATAATGTTTTAATTGCTGTTGGATTCCAGGGAGAACTTATTTGCAAGGCAAGTATTATATAAGCCAAGATTATACATTTTTTTATTACTTTGTTCTGTGATGATATTTATATATATTTTTTGATTTATGGGTGCAGTATTTGGATAGACATGGAGTTTGCTACTGCTGGAGGACAAGTTATGATGATAATGCCATCACTAATGCTGTAGACATTTATACCACTCCTACGTTGATATCATTTTTTTTTGTCTATTTAACAAATTAAATAATAATAATAATAATAATAATAATAATAATAATAATAATAAAAGTTCATGTGAATTTATCTATCATTTGATTGTTTTGCAGTGGTGTAGTTCATTTTGTAGCCTCGAATACTGATTGTGGAGTCCGGGATTTTGATATGGAAAAGTTTGAGATGTCTAAGCACTTCTGGTTTCCTTGGCCTGTGAATGTATACACTCTTTTCCTCCCTTTGTTTTATTTATACCTTATTCTATCTACAACTATTAGGAATGGAATTGGAATCGTTCATTCTGCTGGAATTTAATTCCTTCGGCTTTGTTGATATAAAAATTGTTTCTATTCCTACACACCTGGACTTGATGTGGAAAATCTTATTGTTTGCCAACCAGACAATGGAGAAATGACACTAGAAAGTACTAAATAAACCCACCCTAATTTCTCTATTTTATTTTATTTCATTAATTAATTAATAAACACTTTTTAATTTTTTTTCTTCCTCCAGTTGCAGACCGCATGTGTAGATCTGCTGCAGTTGATCTCATTTGCATCGACTCTGTCTCAGCTCTTACTCCACTTTAACTTTACATTTTCACATTTAATAGTACTACTATAAGCTTTATGTTTATTATTAGGTTTACATTTGTTAGTATTATTTTATTTATATTATGATTTATGAATTATGATTTATGAAGCGCGAAATTGGAATGCAACAAATGGGTTTACAAGCACGTCTTATGAGTCAAGCATTGTGTAAAATGTCAGGCAATGCATCAAAACTTGGATGTGTGTGTATCTATATTCATATTTATTATTTACTATTAAAATAATTTTTTAATCATAATATGTGTTAACCAAAAGTTGGTTCTGGTGTTGGGTTTGCACTTTCATACTATGATTTTGCACACGAATACACGATACAACAAAAACATAAGATAGTCAACTAATAATTGCCAAAATAACTCAAGCAAAAATTTTAACTAAATTGTAAATTTTATATGGATTATTTAAATTTCAGAAATTTAAGGTGTGAGTATTACTTATGATTTACAATAGTTTTTAGTAACCTATAGAGCCTCTTCATGAAGTGATTTCATTCTATTGATTAATGATTCGTATATAGTAAATAAATTTACATATTATCCCTTAAATTAAGATACACTTGCTTTATGTATACCAGGGGTTATGAAACTCTTTGTTCATGCCTCTGTCATGAAACATTGGACCTTCTCTTATAGAAAAAATAGCATATATACTCTTCCACTTACATGGACTAATGTTAAGTTATTTTCAAGCCAAGGACGAAAAAGTTTATAAAGTGAATATTTTTTCATAACAATCAACAGCTAGCTAGCCAGTAAAAGAAAAGTGTAACATAAGTGTTCCCTGACACCTTTTTTTTTTTTACTTCATTTGTGGTTTCAACAATCCTGCATTGTAAAAAATTTCTAAAAGTTTGTGGTATAAGTGAAGAAGAATCTGAAACACAGAAAGCTGTAAGTGCTTCATAAAAGAATAGCGAGTGTTGGAAGGGGGGAAGGAGAGGGTGTTTGATGGGTTAAAGCTCATCAAACATTGAAGACAACTCATATACCAGAATATTTGAAAGAGGAAGTCATTATTGATTTGATTGAAATGGGTGTCGAGCCATTTATAGAAATAACGTATAAGATGGCCAGTTTTCAAAGTAACTATGTAAACATGCAAACAGTAGTAGATGCTTGAACGATACAAATTAGACGAAGCATTACAAAAGGCCGACAATCAATATTCCAGGAAATTTTTTTTTTCCCTCTTATGGTTACTATAGCAAAGAACTCTATTATGTTATCCGATCCATAAATTTCAATACGTGAACATTAAACAAGGACGATCTATAGTGCTTTTTTGACAGACTCTTTTCCTTTACAACTGTTTCCTTTGTTGGTTGAGGAAAATTTTAGAAAATGTAAATTAGTTCCCATCTCCTGTTTCAACAGTAAAGTTTCAGATTTTTTTTTAACCACTCATTGTGACTGCTGGTTATTAAGTTATTATGTTTAAAAGATGCTAATATTTATGTTACCAAACTACCCAAATAATTTTTATTGATAGAAATTGTGTAATTAACCAATATAAATATACCATTTGACATGATAACAATCTTTTTTGTGGAAAATGACCAAGTTATTCCTAACATGTCATTTCAAAGTAGACTCCACAATCCAAAGTAAACTTCTGGGCTCGTCATTCCGGAGATCCCATGTAATGATTTTATGATCATTTCGGTTTTGTTCTATGTCTTTTTCTTTGTGTTTTTGTTTATGTTTTTTTTTTTTTTTTTAGTTTATATGTTAATTTCAATTAACTGTTGGTCATTTTTATTCTCATCATTTTCATTTTCGTATTATGATTATATCTAACTTCATATGATTATAAGTTAAAGGGACTAACATTTTCTATAAGAAAAAAATATATATATTGCAAAAAGAAATAATTTGTAATGACGTGAAAGAAAAATATATTGCAAAAACAAAAAATTAGAAAAATCACATATGTTCAAATAATTATAAAATGTGCAAATCAAATGAAACCCTACTTTTGACGCATACTCCATTCAATTTGTGCAAATCGCCTTTGAAATGAGTTGGCGTAGGTCTTGGTGCAACCATCCACACTCACAGATTCACCACCAATCAACCTCTCTAGAAACAACCCTAACAAAACTCCACAATCCTTTTACCGTCAAACTGGTATGGTACGTTTCACAAGGGTGAGTTTGAAACTCTCGACGGGGATTATATCAATGAGTTTGGTACCCACTTGATAGCCACTAGGAGTTTGTGGATACGAGCTCACATAACTGTAAACCAAATGAAACTTCTGAAAAATTGTTGTCAGACCAATAACTATCGTATATAGTGAGAGTGAATATCCGAAAATCGAAAAACCCTAAAAACCAGTGGTTATTTGGTATATTAATGAGAATGTATAGCTACACAAAAGGTTGGAAATGAAAAATCAACATATAACATTTTGTTATAAGTGATTATTACTTAGGTAATGTAATTGAAACACAAATATACTATATCACATTCAAACCAAGATGGGTAAAGGGATCTATCAACCATGTCAGCCAATCCTTTACATCGATATTGAAAGTTGTTGGTACAAATGTTCATCGAGCATGATCCAATCTTCAATCTAGAAGCAAGGAAATTCGGAGCATGATGTGATATCGATCAACACATGTATAGAACAAATTAAGTAACCTAAATAAATGTTTATTGTGTGATGATATCATACATATAAAACATACATTACATTCCAACCAACTGTTGTCAAAGTCCTTATATATGCATATCCAAAACTCCATCACCAATTAATACATGAGAAAATACGCCTAAGGTTTTATTTAGTTGATATACGAGTTCAAGGGATACAATATATTTTTCATTGTTTCATAAAATCCAACCTTGAAATTTTATTAGACATTGATTATTTGACTAAGTCGTTAGCCAATAAAGGTTGAAGTTGAATTTTTAAGCTATTGTTTAGTTAACTATTATTATTTTAGTTATCTATAATTTTAGAAATGGAGCCAATTTGTGTCCTTTCAAATTCGCTTTAGACCCCCGAGGGATGTTACATCTATTCTACCCAAGATATATTGACTTGGATTGGGATCGGGCGAACTCTGTTACATGGGTTTTGAAAGGAAATTGTTATTAAGTCTATTTATTTTTAGTCGTGTGTCATAAAAATAAGAGTGCAAAAAATGAGTTTTGAAAGGAAAAAATAAAGGAGATGAAATAGTATAAAAAGTGTCGTAAAAACTCAAGTCTTTTGAAGATTGGAAAGTTTATTAGCATTAGACACAGATATACACATGACGCTAAGTAAAATTGCTGGTCTTGAATTTAATTATTTTGTGTGAACATTGATAAATAATGGTTTGATATAGTAATGTTGGGGTTGAGTTTTATTTTCATTGGAATTGACTCTAGTTTCCTTGTGGTCAATCAAAGTATAAGTTTGGGGTAATTTGATATTGTCTATTTGCTACATTTATTTGACGCGATTTTCGGTGTATTTGTGCTCTAGTTTCGTATAAATCAAGGTAAAAGGTACTTAATTAGCTTAAAATATTGAATTGTAGCTAGAAGGCATCAAGGAGAAGAAAAACTTGGAAAATGGAGCAGGAAGCATAAAAAGAAGATTCTTGAAGAGATATGATAGTTCACGATAAGTTTGTAATACCTATTGTGACTTGGATGCGGAGGAGTCTCTATTAATTGAGGAATCATGAACACTCACGACTCAACTAGTATTGGGTTCGCAACACATTTCCTCGCATTTTTTTTTATCTATAACTATGTCTTTTCTTAACCCTAAAAAAGGGTGCAACCTTGTGCAAAAAGTCAGACTTATCATCAAACATTGAGAGCTATCGTAAAACGATTCTTGAAGAAAGAGATTGCAATTGAATCAAAATATTGGAGAATCAAATATTAAAACACATTGATATCATTCGGTTAGCGTTTAAAATCCATTGATATCATTCGGTTAGCGTTTAAAATCATGTTCAACTAGGTAGTAGTTTAATAATTTCTTGATGTTCTGCATCTAAGATTGTGGGCTAACCACATATTACTTTCGCTTTAGAGAAGATGAACCCTTTAGTTATGTGTTGATTTCAAAATTTTAGATTTTTAAGTTGATTAGAATTGATCATGCTTGTTTAAGCATTAATCCTTATGTGTTAAGTTTTTCGAGATTACTATTTAATGTTGAGTTTTAGATAATGGTTGACCAATCTAATATGTTAACATGAATCACATGAATTTTATGAACATTGAAATTTATATAACCGATGATTGAGCATATGCTAAGGGTAAATAGAGAACTTGATAGAATTAATATGGAAGTATGTATGTGATGATCATTTATTCTATGATGATTAATTGGCAAACAATTATAAAAGATTAAGTTTTACATAATATGAACATAAAATTGAAAAAATAAATAGTGAACACATGAACATTGGTTTAACTACAATTAGAGTCATTAAGATTAGAATCTAACCATGACAATAATCATAATAGAAATTGATAGACCACAAAATATATCAATTGCACTTTTGTGAAATTGATATTGCTTTATCTAAACATTTATTTTATGATTTTATCTTAATATATTAAGCATAAATGTAATATTTAATGATAAAATCTATTGATACTGATTTGGTTCGGATAAATACATAAAAAAATCATTGCTAAGAGCAAAAGGGAAGGATTGGGACTACAATGGAGTCGATAATGATGAATTTCAAAAAGTTGCTAAAAATATTCAGTTGTCGTTGCCTAAAGTGTCACGCACCACGACCTAGTTTGAGAATTTGATACAATCATGGATAAATTAGTTTATGCAATGCATAAAGAGATCCTACATGTTGCATAATCTGAGTTACTATAAACATGAAACTATTTAAACCCTAAAGGAGAGACCACATGTAACGTAACAAATTTCAAAGACAAATTTTCATTTTTAGATCAAGGAAACCACATCAATTCAATCTCAAAAGATAGCCAACTTGGGTTTATATCATCAAAATCAGAGTCATTATAATAAAGCGTAGAAATCCCAAATAACATAAACAACGAATGCAATGCAATCACGTTGTGCCCTTCCCCTTGTTATCGAAAGTACCTAAAACATTTG